GTAGGTAGAGCTTTGTGGAAATTGTCCCGGAGAGATTTACCCACAGATATAGTCAAAATTTGCCTTTCTACCCTTTGCTCTTCTTCATCAGAATTTAGAAATTCCTCAATCTTTTCAATTCTATTCACCATTGCCTTCTGCAATGTCTGAATCTCCTGTCCAGAATTATATTCCAAAGCCTTCATTGAGGATTCTAAAGTATGAAGTTTGTCCATTAGAGATAACATCTCATCTTTGGACATAATTTTTATGGCATAAACCGTGCCTTCTTGTATTGACAATCTTTCCGCCAATCTGTCATAAGCTTTAGACAAAATCCGATTGTCACATTCATTCCGCCAATCTGTCATAAGCTTTAGACAAAATCCGATTGTCACATTCATTCCGCCAATCTGTCATTAGCTTTAGATAAAATCCGATTGTCACATTCAGCAGTTTTGATTCTCTCAGTTAATATTTCATTTCCTACAGAAAGGGACTGAATCTTACAATCCAAATCAGCTGTTCCTTCTTCCATAGTAATGAATTTCTCCTTAATATCAGCCACTACTGTTTCAGTTCCTACAGAAAGGGACTGAAGCTTACGATCCAAATCAGCTGTTCCTTCTTCCATAGTAATGAATTTCTCCTTAATATTAGCCGTTAATGTTTCAGTTCCTACAGAAAGGGACTGAAGCTTACGATCCAAATCAGCTGTTCCCTCTTCCATAGTAATGAATTTCTCCTTAATATCAGCCACTAATGTTTCAGTTCCTACAGAAAGGGACTGAAGCTTACGATCCAAATCAGCTGTTCCCTCTTCCATAGTAATGAATTTCTCCTTGACATCAGCCTGGAGAACTTCAAACTGATTCTTGAAAAGATTGCTGTCATTCTCAATTGTTATTAAGCGTTCAATCTCTGCCTTAAAAATCCTGGATTCGTCTCGTAAAGACTTTATCATATTTCTATTATCAAACCATTTAGTGCCAATGAAAACTACGAATCCCAGAAGGATCCATAGATGTGGGGTGATAGACACCTCTTGTAAAATCTCCCACATGGTACAATTAAAAAAACTGTTAAATTCTTGAATAGTAACGTGTTTAGACATTTTATTTATAAAAGAAAAATTTTTTACCTGCAATGATCTGTTCCTGCCAGTGGTGGTCTCTGTGTTTTTGGAGCCTGTCCTGGAACTAGCTCTTGTAGACCAGGCTGGCCTCGAACTCACAGAGATCTGCCTGTCTCTGCCTCCCAAGTGCTGGGATTAAAGGTGTGCACCACCACTGCCTGGCTGGCCTCAAACTCACAGAGATCTTCCTGCCTCTGCCTCCCAAGTGCTGGGATTTAAGGCGTGCGCCACCACCGCCTGGCCGGCCTTGAACTCACAGAGATCCGCCTGCCTCTGCTTCCCAAGTGCTGGGATTAAAGGCGTGCGCCATCACCGCCCGGCCAAGTCACTTTGTATCAGACCAAATCTGCCGCTGTGGCGGCTTTTGTTGCAAAACTGCAGGTACTTGAGTTTCTGCTAATTCAGGCAGTGGGGTTCCGCTGCAAACTTAGCCAAGGCAGGCGGGCAGGGGGGTTAATTGCTCTGGCAAGCAGGCGGGGCACAATGGGGCCCGAGTCACGAACTAAAAAACAGCACCCGGGAGCGTGCTGTGTTAGCTAGCGGGCTACGCGCTTGAGTCAGGGGCAAAATAGCCCACTTTGGACGCCAAAATGTAACGGCGTAAATGAATGCAGACAGATTGTAACTATATATATATATATATATATATATATATATATATATATATATATATCTTTAATGTAGAAATAGACTTACAGAGCCACCGTTCACGCGGAGACCAGAAAAGCAGAAGCAGCGGCTGGGAGCACGCTCGCCAAATTTATAGGCAAACATTAGCCCCAGGTGAACACGCCCCCTTAGGGGCGGGACTTATCCCTACAGGTATACATATAAGTGTGTGGTGCACATGTGATATAGGTGTGAGTGTGTGGTGCACATGTGGTGTAGGTGTGAGTGTGTGGTGCACATGTGGTATAGGTGTGAGTATGTGGTGCACATGTGATATAGGTGTGAGTGTGTGGTGCCCATGTGATATTGGTGTGAGTGTGTGGTGCACATGTGGTATAGGTGTGAGTGTGTGGTGCACATGTGTAGGTGTGAGTGTGTGGTGCACATGTAGTATACATATGAGTGTGTGGTGCACATGTGGTATACATGTGAGTGTGTGGTGCACATGTGGTATACAAATGAGTGTGTGGTGCACATGTGGTATACATATGAGTGTGTGGTGCACATGTGGTATACATGTGAGTGTGTGGTGCACATGTGGTATACATGTGAGTGTGTGGTGCACATGTGGTATAGGTGTGAGTGTGTGGTGCACATGTGGTATAGGTGTGAGTGTGTGTTGCACATGTGGTGTAGGTGTGAGTGTGTGGTGCACATGTGGTATACATCTGAGTGTGTGGTGCACATGTGGTATACATATGAGTGTGTGTTGCACATGTGGTATACATGTGAGTGTGTGGTGCACATGTGGTATAGGTGTGAGTGTGTGGTGCACATGTGGTATAGGTGTGAGTGTGTGGTGCACATGTGGTATAGGTGTGAGTGTGTGTTGCACATGTGGTGTAGGTGTGAGTGTGTGGTGCACATGTGGTATACATGTGAGTGTGTGGTGCACATGTGGTATACATGTGAGTATGTGGTGCACATGTGGTATACATGTGAGTGTGTGGTGCACATGTGGTGTAGGTGTGAGTGTGTGGTGCACATGTGGTATACATGTGAGTGTGTGGTGCACATGTGGTATAGGTGTGAGTGTGTGGTGTACATGTGGTATAGGTGTGAGTGTGTGGTGCACATGTGGTGTAGGTGTGAGTGTGTGGTGCACATGTGGTGTAGGTGTGAGTGTGTGGTGCACATGTGGTGTAGGTGTGAGTGTGTGGTGCACATGTGGTGTAGGTGTGAGTGTGTGGTGCACATGTGGTGTAGGTGTGAGTGTGTGGTGCACATGTGGTATAGGTGTGAGTGTGTGGTGCACATGTGGTATACATATGAGTGTGTGGTGCACATGTGAGGGTGTAAGGTATACTAGTGCGTGGTGCACATGTGAGTGTGTGTGGTGTACATGTGAGAGTGTAAGGTATACATGTGTGTGTGGTACACATGTGAAGGTGTATGGTATGCATGTGAGTGTGTGGTACATATGTGAGGTTGTATGGTATAAATGTTTGTGGTGCACTTGTGAGGTTGTATGTTATACATGTGAGTGTGTGTGGTGCACATTTGATGGTGTATGGTATACATGTGAGTGTGTATGGTACACAAGTGTGTAGAGTTTCGAGGCCAGTCTGGTCTATGGAGGGAGTTCCAGGACAGCCAGAGCTGTTACACCAAAATACCTTGTCTCAGAAAACAAATCGATACAAAAAGGTTATTCTTCCTTCATGCTCCACTTTATTCCTTGAGGCAGGGTCTCTCAGTTGACCCTAACACACACAGATAAAGGTTAGTCTAGCATTTCAGCTTGCTGTAGAGTCATTAGGTTCCTCCTCGCAAGGGCTGGAATTGCAAGTGAGTCACCATGCCTGCCTAGCTTTTGTAAGTTCTGATGATCCGAATTTTGATCCACACTTTTGTAAGGCAAGCACTTTTACCATAGCCATCTCTGCAGCCCTGTTTTGTTTATTAAAAGTAAGACAATTTACTAATATTTTTCAAATATATATGAAGATACCTAAATATAATATATATACACATGCATATGTACACTATTAATTTACATATTATATGTAATGTACATACCATATTGCATATGGTATGTAAATTGAGATAAGTGGGATTATAAAGAGAAATAATCAGATCAACCAGCACTAAAGGTTTGAGGAACAACTTAGTTAATTCTTAAAAGCAAGCAGACAAAAACAGAAAAGAGAATCTAGGTATTTGAAAAGACTTGTTCTCTAGGCTTGGGCTACTGGGTTCTCAGGGATTATTCTTGAAAAACAGAGATTCTTTCTATGAAGACATGCACATTTATAAAATAAAACCAAAAACAAAAGCAACAGAAACTTCTCATTTGGGGTTAATAATACATTTTTTAACAATTTTTGACATTTATGATTACAGACATTTATATTACAGCTTTGAACTCCCTGTGCAGCCAAGGATGACTTTGAGCTCTCAATCCTCCAAGAATAATGACACCAACTTCTATATCTGCAGATGAAGAAACATGTGCTTGGGGCTGGAGAGGAGGCTCAGCATTTAACAGCATTGACTGCTCTTGTAGAGGACCAATATTTGGTTCCTAGTACCCAACAGCTCACAGTTGCCTATATATAACTCCAGTTCCAGGGAATCTGATGCTTTTGTCTGTCCTCTTTGGGCAACACACACACACACACACACACACATGCACGTGCACACGCACGCACACGTGCATGCAAACACTCACATAAAAATACCTTTCAAAAAAGAAACATGGGTGGTTAAGAGCACTGCCCGCTCTTCCAGAGGACCCAGTTTCAATTCCCAGCACCCACATATAGCTCACAACTCTCTAACTCTAGTTCAGGCCCACATACAGATAAACCAGCAGGTAAAACAGGAAGTAATACATGTGAATAAAAATAAATTAAAAAAAGAAACATAGTAACTCTTATGCCAAGGAAACATCTTAGAAAACAGGCAGTCTTTAAAGTGGATCTGAAACTGGCAATGGTGCTGATCTTCTTTCTCTTCCACCACCTGCCTTTCTCCTACTGGAAGGCTGGGGACAGCTATCAGTGCTATCAGAAAATTAATCCCAGCATTCAGGAGGATTGCCAGAAGTTTGAAGCCCACCTGATTGTCAGTATTAGACCAGCCAGGGATACATACATGAACCTGTCTCACCCCCAGATTCCCTCCCCCAAATAAGTTAGATTCATTAGGTCATATTTTCCATTTCAAACCATCCATTTTTTTTTTTTTTTTTTGCCTTTTATTTTGAACATCACAGGAGAAAAGAGGAAAATGAACAACTCTCATGCTCCGGAGGAAACCAAGAGATCCCGAGTGTCGGGGGATATTCCTGTGGAATTGATCAATGAGGTCATGTCTACCATCACAGACCCTGCGGTGATGCTTGGACCAGAGGTCAGCAGGGGGAACCCGGCAGGCAGCTGAGAAGGCCTTTCTGGTCTCCCTGCCACATCAGCTGTCAGAGATGTAGGTGGAATGCTGAGGACACACTGGGGGAGGGCAGGAATGGCCAACCAAGATGTGGTCCCCCTTGACGAATATCAATTACAGGGCCACAAACCACAGTTTCGAGTAGTTGGAAACCTTTCCATCTTGATGAGTTTCAAACCTCCATCGGTAGTGCACAAAGCCTGTGATAAAATCCTTGTAGTTCACCAGGAGGTTCAGCAGTGTTCACATGCCATTTCCCTGTGTTTACTTTTTCTTTCCTCCCCTCTGGACCTTTTAGAATCATTTCAGAGTTCCAAACAGATGAAATAATAGCTCACACCCTATGCGTTCTCCTGTGTCTCATATGAAAGCAATTCTCTTGTATTATCCCACAAGTTAGCACTCAGGAAATTTAGCTTTGTTACAAGGGTCTCTGGTTTAGGGTTGGCAGACTGTAGCCTGCCAGTCAGATTTGCTATTTAACTTGTGGGTTGAAGTAATTTTTCTGCCTCAGTTGCCAGCTAGCTAGAAGTAAAGGTGTACACGATCAGGCTAGGCTTGTAACTGTTCTAATGGACTGTATTATCTGTACACCACTGCACATAGCAGAAAATTAAACAATTGAGGCTTGGAATATATGTCTTCCAAAATAAAATGTTCATCACTAGACTTCTCACTGAAAAATTTGCCGACCTGTTGGCCTAATATGCAACCTATATCCAATGATCGATTATCTTACCAAATTATGCCATTCAAAACATGTATTGCTATTGTTGGAGGCTCAGTTAGGAACTGAGCATGGAATTTAGTTTTCATTTCTTCATCTCTTTAGTGTGTATTTTTTTTTGACAGATGTCATGTAGTAGGCTGATCTTGGACTCATTATAGAGCCAGGCTGAATGACCTTGAACCACCACATAACGTTCTGGGGATCAAATCCAGGGCTTCCTGAATGCTGGGCAAGCACCTTACCTCTGAGCTGCGTCCCATCTCTTTAGTCTGTTTTAACTGAAGCAGTTCTCCCTGGCCTTTCCCCTTCTTTTGCAATGCTGCCTTTATTGTGGAGTCTTGTTGGCTAGTTTTGCATAATGTCTCTGTTTGGATCTCTGTAATAGTTTAGGTCAATCCAGATAAAATGTTTTTGTTGAAAGTACTGCTGACATCTTACTGTAAGACAGCCAGGAACAGGGAAGCTCAAGACATTTCCAGGAAATGAAGACATGGCCAGAGTTTATAAGCAACTTCTGTTTCTTCGGTGTGGCTCTGCTGGATTAAATCATTAAGTTTCATACTGATCTGTTTCTGTGGTTCTTTATCAATGCCAAGGATAATTCAGAGAACTGGGGGTTGCAACAGAACCATCTTATAAAATTCTTCTTTCTTTCTGGACTATCCAGTTGTGCGAACCTAAAGCTGAGCTCCTGCTTTAGGGTTTTTGTAACTTCTCACATGAGCAGAGCTTGGTCTACTCAGATTTAAAGTGGGGAGGCAATCAACCATCTCACAATCTGTTGCTGCAGTTAGTAGTGTACCAGCATGCCCAAGAAAGTGGCTGCGTTTTCAGATGTCTTTGCAAACTAGTTGTTAATTATTTTGGTAACTTGTACCACAGTGATACCTGGTAACCTAGACAGCCAGCTGGAGCCCTCAAAGCTAGTGCTGCACTGAGGACTTTTCTTCCAACCAGAGCTATTTGTCAAAAATCTCCTTGCCCAGCATGGGGTGGATTAAAGCATGAGGTGCTGGCACTTGGTCATACAGCCTGCTGTGAGTTAAGTCAGGATCAATAGATACTTCTGGAAAGAAAACTGCCATTCAAAAAGAGCTGTTAAGATGATAAAATATGACTACTGCTTTATGGTTTATTTCAAGATTTTGGAACCTGTTACCTTAATGGACTTTAATTTTTCATTATTATTGCTACTGTTATTATGTTGTGTGAAGGAGTCATTCACATGCATGGAGGTACAGGACAACTTTTAGGGGTCAGTTATCTCCTTCAGTTGTGGATTCAGAGCATCAAACTGAGGTCATCAGGCTTGTGGAGTGATGAGCCATCTCACCAGTCCTCTTTTTAAAAATTTACATTTATTTATTTAATGTTTCTGTGCACATGTGGGAACACTTTACCATGGCATGAGTATTCAGGTCAGAGGCCCTGGGGAGAACTTTACCATGGCATGAGTGTGCAGGTCAGAGGCCCTGGGGAGAACTTTACCATGGCATGAGTGTGCAGGTCAGAGGCCCTGGGGAGAACTTTACCATGGCATGACTATGCAGGTTAGAGGCCCTGGGGAAGAACTGCTTGTCTCCTTCCATCATTCTTGCCATTCTTCATTGTCAGCTTGACTATATCTGGAATGAACTACAACCAGGAAATGGAGAGCACACCTGTGAGAAATTTTCTTTTGGGTTTACAGTGGGTAAACTTATTTCTATTCTAGACTTTTAAGGTAGGAAGAAACACCTCTGATATGGATCTTTAGGTAGAAGGACAGCATGCCTTTGATTTGGATATTGAGGTGGGAAGGCACACCTTTAATCTGTGCTTCACTTTCTGCTGGAAGCCTGGATAAGGACATGGAAGAAGGAAGGTTTGCTCTTTGCCCATTTGCCCTCACTGTGTTAAAACATCTGTTCCTTCCATGGAGCCTACTTCTTCAGGATTCCAGTATATACAGAGGACCAGCTGAGACACGCAGCCTGGTGGGACTGAGGAACTACTAGATTCTTGGACTTACTGTTCACAGCTGGTCATTGTTGGAGTAGTTGGACTGTAGCTTGTAAGTCATTCCAATAATTTCATACAAACATACATACATACATACATACATACATACATACATACACACTCATTCCATAGACTTTGTGACTCTAGAGAACCCTGACAGATACAGATTTTGGTACCAGAAGTGCTTATAGAAGAACAAGTATAATGATGAATCTTTTAACTGTCTGGGATAAACTGTTCACTTCTCTACCACTTTCGGTTACTGTAGTCTCTCCAAAAACTCCCTCTCCTGGGAGCTCAGAGAGTACCAAAAGCCCATGGTGTGAACTGTATTACAAACTTACAGGGGTAAATACATTTGATTATCTTGAGTCACCAGCTGTGAATGGCACTAGATTTGATGATCCTGTATTTTAAATTTTGACAGTTTGGGGAAAAATAATGAAAATGATGCTGCTGGTTGGTTGCTTTTAGTATTTCTGTATAAACTGATAAAAGATAGGAGTGAGCTCTGTGATAAAATTAAGTAATTTCAAAATATGGTGAAGGACAATAAAGAACTTAGTATAAAGTCGACCAGCTCCAGATGTTAATAAACAGTGTAAAGGTTTCTAAGTGTGCCCTAGAAAAAAATCTTCTTTCCAGCAGCCACAGAGCTTGAGTTACAGAAAAATCAAACTGAAGCCTTCATTATAAGGTCGGCTGAATTATAGGAAAAATTCAAGCCCCAGCTTCAGAGGATGTCAGCAGTTCAAGTCAGGGCATCAATTGGTAAAGAGTGGACCCTATAACATGGCTTGGGGATGTGTGGAGGACCCTACTGAAGCTGAGAACTTTGAACCTTCAGATTCGCAAGGATTTTATCTTACTTGACCTCTCCCCTCTAAGTGTCTTAGTTAGGGTTTCTTTTGCTGCGGTGAAACACCATATCAAAAAAAAAAAAAAACAAGTTGGAGAGGGAAGGGTTTATTTGGCTTATACTTCAGTATTGCTGTTTATTACTGAAGGAAGTCAGGGCAGGAGCTCAAACAGGAAAGGATCCTGGGGGCAGGAGCAGATGCAGACCCAATAGAGGGGAGCTGCTTAGTGGTTTGTTTCCCATGACTTGCTCAACCTGTTTTCTTATATATCCCAGAACCACCAACTCAGAGATGGCACCACCTACAATGAGCAGTTCCCTCTCACACTAATCACTAAATGAGAAAATGCCCTTCAGATGGATCTCAAGGAGGCATTTCCTCAACTGAGGCTCTTTCCTCTCTGATGACTCTAGCTTGTGTCAAGTTGACACACAAAGCCAGCCAGTACACTTTGAAATACTGCTCCTTTGACCTTTCACTGAGTTTAATCCTTAATTGTCCACTAAACCAGCAGTGACTCTCTCTGAAGACAATGCCAGCAAGACAATACTGATGTCCCTCAGGACCCACCAAATCTAGTTACATCTAGATTTACAAACAAACTCAAGGCCAAAGCAGTTTTCTAGAGGGGATATAGAAAGTGTAGTCCATGTGGAATGTATTACACTGTAGTGCCAGCCACTAGTTCTTACCTCTACATCAGACCAAAAAGGTGATCCTGTCTCTTTGAATCCTCAGACTGAATGCCCTGACCTCCTGTCTCCTCCTATGTTTTTTAAAAAAAGATTTGTTTTATTTTATTTTTTTAAAGAAAAGAATGCATACTATCTGTTTTCATTTTACATACCAGTCCCAGTTCCCACTCCTTCCCCTCCTCCCATTCTTTCCACCTACACCCCACCCCCTATCCACTCCTCAGAGAGGATAAGGTACATTGCTTTGGGGAAGGTCCAAGCCTCCCAGGCTGAGCAAGGTATCCATCCAAAGAGAGTAGGTTCCCAAAAAGCCAGTACAAGCAGCAGGGTTAAATCCTGGTGCCACTGCCAGTAGTAATGGGGTGGGGGGAGCAGATCCAAGGCTAGGAGCCACAAGGTGGGTGAGAGACAGAGACCTGTCCTACGAGGTGCAGCTGCAGGTGAGAGATAGATGGATTGGCACACCATGCAGAGTGAGGTTGGATATTTATTTAGTGGGTTATGGGGGGAAATGGGGGAAGTGAAGAAGGGAGAAGAGGAGAGAGAGAAAAAATAGAAAGAGAGAGAGAGAGAGAGGGGAGGGGGAAGGGGAGAAGGGAGAAAGACAGAAGCTGCCTTTTCAGGAGAGAGACAGAAAGGAAGGGAGCTCAGGCTAGAAGCAGAAGGAAGATCTGCTTG